CAGGGTCGCGAGGGAAGGTCCGCGGATACACAGCGAAATACACAGCGAGAGGAAAGCGCTTGAAAATTGATCCGGGATGTAAGGATTTGATTTCACGGAATTTCTGTCATACAAACTCGATGTCTCTCTCGGAGAAATGTTCAAGTACTTTCTTCCCGTGTACGTCGGATGCGTGTGTTGGAGTTCTTTCGGTGCGACTAAGGGTATTTAGCGAAAGGTAAGTCTCTTGGAAGGATGGCTCGCCTATGGACGGCAGGCTTGTAGTCAGGTAATCGATTTTGCGCTTCGGCTCGTTTTTTATCGTACATACGTCGTTACGCGTTCTGAGAACGAGACCTCGTTCCCCGGCGGAAAAACTCGCCGGTAACTCTCCGCCTGCTCTTTTGCAAACAAATATTTTCTCGAATGTGCGTAATCGGCATAGGCGTGAACGAGCCCGGACATCTCGAGATTCAACAGCTACGATCCAGTTAAAGCCAGTTGGATCCGACCGACCTGAGGCTGAAGCATCTGGAATGTCACGGATCGGGATCCGTGAGCGAGCGCTCGTTTAAGCCCGTCCAAAACGCCGCTAGTGTCAAGGATAACGATCAAATATGTCTTGAATAATGATTACCAAAGAGAGGAAGATGAAATTCATAATTAATCTCGCAAGAGTGACTTCCTCGGCCACGACGGCAGATAATAATAATCGGCTGCGTCTCTCACACACACACACACACACACACACAAAGTGTGCGTTCATTCTCCTTTAATATATTTGCTTGATTTCTTTTTCTTGACGAAATATAAAAAATTTCTATTTTTTCGAAAGGATGTGGATTTCTCCACACCGCATTTTTTACGCGGTATGGAGAAATAGGAGAATGTGGAATAAAACGTGGACGCTAAAGATCTAATGAGAAATGAAATAATCTTAATTAAGAGATTTAGTAAAACTTTCTTCTTTGCAATCAATTAATTAAACTTTGACATTACGTAAGCAAGTTGAAAAAAGAGACAAAAAATAGGAAAAATTCTTCTTCAAAAAGTTCTCGAACTTCATCTTACCCCGCAACTCGGGGTAAAAAGTTTCTCATCTTTGTCGTCAACTCTGTCATTTATTGACATATAAATCTTAAATTAATCTTGCCTCTTTCTTTATATCAAATCGTACATAAGACCCGTGTGTCTAGTGCTGACAAATTTGATGAGCCACTCAGTTTCTCACAGACTATACTATTGTATTCGTCACGGACAAGCGTGTTGACTCGCCTTTCTGTCTCTCTCATATATGCAAGTCCAAGTCTACAGTTGCGTAGTTATTTCTATGTAACAACTTTTCCCATCTTACCTCGTGACCTCATCTTGTCCCGAGTTCCCCTACTTAATTTGACTTCCGAGGTAATGCTGCGTCCTTCATAGATTTGTTTCCGACGTTTCGCGAACAATTCCCGTTCAATTCTTCAGGAACCGCCGGAAACAGTTTCGGGTCATTCCGTAGCCCGAAATTTTCACGAAAAGTCGGGAACGGCGAAATTGCTTTGAATCTTCCGACGATAGACGGCCGGGAATCCTCGATATATATCCTTATATTTTTTGCAGGCGCCATGTCGGTGGCACGCGGCTTTTTATCGGGTAACTCTTGAAGAAAAAGAGGCGTGGAAGCTCCCGACGGGATACGCCGCAAGGAATACACCGAATAAGGCCAAGCCGCTACGAAAGAAGAATTATAGCCGATCGATCGAGCAACACGTGGTTCAGGTGTACCAATGTTTGCCGTGGGGCTAAAGTGGACGAAACCTAATCCGTTCGAACTGCCTTACGCAATTGTTAAGAATACTTGCCGCAAATATTTGCGCATCGCGACGCGGCATTACACGTATGGTACTGTAACCGCGCCGTCACTCTGATTTTCGAATTTTCCTCTCGAATCTGCGACGAGAAGAACTTGAAGAATACGCCGCATTCTGCGCGCGTCTCAGCCAGCAGCAGCGGAAAGACGGTGTTCGGAAAGCGATTAGGAACTCCCCGGGTAGAACGAGAAGCAACTCGTGATGGATGAAACTTCTAAAGACGGTATTTTTAAATTCGTCTCACTAAACTCAATTTAGTTGGTCAATTGATATGTTAACCATAATGGCACAACAGTGACTTTTCCGATTACGATTTTTCGAGTAATACGTGTTACTTCGAAAACGATGTATTTTAATAACGAACAAAATGAAATTAATAATTTAAAAAATAAATACATTAAGTGAGAAGTAAACCATCGTATTATTACAAAGGGAAGGGAGAAAGAGAGAGAGAGAGAGAAGACTAAAATGAAATAAAAAGGATTAAGTTGAAATAAAAAGAACACGTCACGAAGATCCAGAAGCTAGAGCTATAATAGACGAATGCAATTTGTGCGACTAAATCGGCGAGAAAATTTGCGCGTTTTTGCAAAAAAAAATCGACAATATTGGATGCACCAGTTGTTAACGATTCTATAAATATCCGATGTGCTGAACGCATTATCATCTTCTTTTACGCCGCGAACCCTTCTACGCGTCTGCAGTAAATGCCAGCTCGTATTTAGAGCATGCATTATCGCGGTTAAAAATAAAAACGTTAACTGCACGTTTTTCGACGGAGGCTGGAAGCAAGGAGGTTTACTTCCTCCGAATAGGTGTGCGTATTTAGCGCGTCGAATTCTAACATGAAACGAAATCGCAAACGTGTGTATTTATACATGCCGTGTTATAATATTTTGCACAATGTGAAAGAGCGTGGGTAAAAATAGAGAGGGAGATCGACCGGGTGAGTGGGAAAACACGCTTCCGATAAAACGGATTCGGATGTTTGGCGAAGAAAAACACGTTAAAAAGCTGCCCCGTGTTGCGCGCCGATATAAAAAAAAAGCATGCTGGTGAAATTCATTCGACTGACGGGAGAGAAGGTAGAGACAGCGCGCATTCTCACGATAGAATCATCCGATTGTGTGGAAACTGAGCGGGGGGGTTTCCGAATTGTGCGTCGCAGCTCCTCCGGATAAACGACGGGCCCCTTGAAGACGGTAAGGTGTAGTAAGACATTCGCTGTTATTAAAGATATACTCGCTTTATTCAAATACAACTATTATTCGCTCGAGTTTGGTCATAAGGTGGGAGAATGGTACGAGTTAATAATGAAAAAGGGTGGCGGTTGATCGCAGAATTTGAGAACCCCGGAAAACATTTATACTTCGTCGGTGTAATTGTCGCGTACATAAAGATTCATTCAGGTTTCGCGATATTTTGTCACTAAACAAAACGCGAATCATCATAGCGATGAACTTACTGCGCTGTCGATTGTAATTCAAACTCGTATATATACTCGGAGAGAGATATATATATATGTATATATATATGCGTATATTATTGTTATTATATATTATATAAGTTTACAGCTTTAGGATTCTCGAGTTGGCTTCATACATATACGGATAAGAACGATAAATATTTGGATACATAAAATTCCGACGTTTTCTTTTCTACGTTTATCTCCGCTTACAATATTATCTCTTCTTATACAATAGTATTACATAATCGTGGTCCAAGATATGTATTTCCGATTATAAGATAAATAACGCTTGTAGATTCGGTTGCATATTTCGATTTCTAAATATAACGTGATACTAGCGCGTCCTTGAGATGTCGCGTTCTCGCACAGTCCTAAAAAAATCGGAACGTCAGATTGACGTTCCTGTCGTCAGTTAGAGTTAAAGGTTACATGATAATACGGCCGTTGCGGATTAATTGGCGAATATCAAATAGCGCGGGATTATTATTATTCACATAATGGGGTACATAATACAGTTACGTTACTCGTTAAATTCACCGTTGAAAGACATCAGACGCACCTTTATCAATTTGACTGACGAATTTTGCTAATCACTGATACTCGATTATACTGTTTCGAGATTACCGTGACGTTTTTACATTATCATACGACGTAGTTCGTGTCTCTCTCGAGAGCACAGCGATCAGTTAGCCGCGTAATACTTCGTACTCAGGAAACCGAGGTCGTCTTCAACACGTGCTGTGTTTTATTTATCACTAAGAACCGTAACTCAGGTAGAACATTCTTAAAGAGAATATCTATCATAATTATTACTACTAAATACACTTGGTACATTGCACTTGGACGGACATTGGCATTCAGTCCGTACAATTAGGCTCGACGAAAAAAAAAAAAAAAAAGAAACACTGGTATTGCTTGACCTAGAAGTTAACGGTTGTAACGATTTCTATGTATAAATAAAATCTCTCGATTGGGTTAATCGACGCAAATGTTGGGAAGATTGAGACACTCTACATATTTACAATTATAGAGAGCGACATGCCACGAATTATGATATACTCTGTGTACAACGATAACAATAACAATAACAGTAACGATAATTGTATACCTATTGATTCGAAAAAGAAGACGAAAAATCAGAAACGCACCCATTTTATCTCGACATCGTCACATAATGAATAATTGTTGTGTTTCATCACAAAGATAATTATATTATATAAATATATTTATACAGAATCGTCCATTGCAGTGTGTACATTGATTCGTTCATTTTTCTTTAATATCTCAATAATTATCGTGGTTGCAAGATGATGAAAACTTTTCTGTTCAGTTTGGTGAGTTCTATTTGTATACAAGAACGTTATTACGTTTAAGTCTGGACATCCTGCACATATAATGATTAATAGGACTAATAAGGACTAATAAGGAAAATAATTTGAAGGTATTCCCAAATTTTTCAAAGACACTTAGCCGCACTACGCACGTCTCTATCGCGTTAAATTATTAAAAAATAAAAAACTTTACTAATCTCAATATAAAACTTCAAACCGGACACGTCTCTCCCTTATTTTTGGTCTTCGATACTCCGCATACGCTCGACGAATAATATCAATACGTTTTATTATATATAAAACGTTATACATACATATATATACGTTTTATGTAACGTTATATATATAAACGTTTATATTTATGTACAAATATTAAAACGTTGTATATATAAACATATATGTTATACGTATGTATGTATGTATATGAACGTTTATTGTATGTGATTTTAGGGATGCTCAAAAGGGCAGCGTCATTGCTTAAAAGGCTCGCGAAAGATCTTATTCAGAATATGAGAAAAGTGATACCGATTAAAAAGTCACAGAACTGATTGAGTTGGTTTTCATTCTGTAAAGAAATTCGAATAAATAATAAAAGATTCGTCATGCGCCGGTAAAATAGGTAACAAGGATATCTCTGTATTCACACATTGACTAGTATATCAATGGTGGCAGAGAAATTTCCCGATCGGGGAAGGTGTGTTTTCTTTTCTCTGAGTATCCCTAAAACAAACATACATCGATCGAAGTCGAGTAATCGTTCAGACGAATTATCGCGCCGATATTAAGGAATTTAAGCTGCGACCGCTCGCTTGTAGCCGGTAGAAATAACCTAGACTCCACACATATCACAAATTAATTTCATATACTTGTGGTAACAGTCAGTCCTTCCAACGGTTCTCCGCAGAGCTGAGGTTCGCCCGTCTGGTGTGATGCGCGCCGTGTTCACTGTTAAACGTATATATTCTAACAAAATATACACCCACTATATGTCCCAATATCAATTTCACGATCACCATATCGTCCTACAGCCGCGTGCGTCTTCGTTCCTTCTTCCCCCGAGGACGTCCGAGCACGAGATTTCTTGGCTCTTCGAGCGACGTTCGCCATCTTCACAGAGTCCGCTCCATCCATCGGCTGGCGATGAACCGAAGAAACTCGCCCACCTTCCTTTCTCTCTTCGTCTTCCGTGTCCGAGCGAAGCCCCCGGTGTGTTCCTCGTGTACACTCGCCTGTTATCCGTTAGCCAAACAGCCGGTTTCCTCGTCGCTTCTCGCGGAGTCCACGTTTCGTAGGTCCTCTTCGTAAATACTTCACGTCGATTCCAGCACGCCGCCGGCGAGTTTCGTCGCGTACAGATTTAGTGCCTGGCGAGAAAAAGGCTTGAAAACTCATCCCGATTTCCACTCCTCGTAGCATAGCGATCGTTAATGAGATAGTCAGTGCTCACCTTGTATATGAAAGCGTACTGCTCCTTCGTTTGCACTGCGCCAGCGCGGTCTCTCCTGATAGTGTAAACGACCCTCGGCACGTCCACGGTCCTCGTAATTTCATATTGTCTAATTCCTAAGTCGAGGGCTATTAGCGTGCCGGTGCGTCCGGTACCCGAGCTGCAATGGACCACGATGGGTCCAGGGCCTCCTCGTTGCAGCGCTCTTGCCTCGAGGAGCACCGCTATTAGACCGGCGCCGTCCGACTCGACGCCACTCACCGGCCATAGGTACCAAATGTGGAACACCTCTCGGAACGTATTGTTCTCCAGGTTCTGCAAAGGCTACTTCGTTAATCGCATTCGCCAGACAGCGTCGCACACACGCACAAAATCTTCTCGAAAATATATACGCTTACTTGGAAAATATGCTTCATTTATCGTACGACACGAGCGGTAAGTATGTATATTTGATTTGTAAACAATATATCTCGCATGTTTGAAGCTATTCTTATCTACTCGAAGCTTTGACATTTAAAAGCACGTTTTGGCATATTTATCCTTTCTTATCTGTTTAAATCTGAATTGAAATCTCTCTCGCATTACGTTATATTTCGAGGTTTTCTATCGAGACGTTACGTAAGATCTGAAATATCTCAGCCCGAAACGAATGGAAAGTGACGGAACAATTGATATACGGTATCGCCGGTATTAAGGAGTTAATTCCGCCGTCAAGGCAGCTCTTATCTGTGTTAATCATTCCGAACGTTATCACCGGCCGACGTAATAACGCAATTAGCAATGCTCTTTACCTTCAAATGCAGCGTGGAGATGGCGTATTTCTCTTTGGTTTCTCGCTTTTTCAGGGTGACTTGGAAGTCGCCGTAGAGCCGGTGACAGTCGGTCACTTCCGACGGTGGAATGTACTCCGTACACTTCTCGACTCCGTTCTCGACCAGATCGGTCAGCATGATGATCACTTTGCACTGCTGCTCCCAGATCATCCTCCAGAAATCGGTTACGGTCGAGTCTAATGGCGCTTGGCAAGCGATATAGTATTTCGTTGCGTTCTTCGGTCCCTGAGAGACCGAGAAGTGTCAAACTAATGCATATCGATAAGTGTGTGTTGTATTATATATTACATTGTAAAATCAAGTGTCGGTGTGTTGACGATATTCACGTATAATTTATAGAATTATGACACCTCAAGTAGCGGAATAACGTATCGGAAGATATCACATCGATATCGGAAACATTGTTCTGCTATATTTGGGATGCAATTATATAAATTATTATATTGTATAATCATATTATACTTGCAAAAGCTCGGATACGGATCGACGAATGTTCGACGGCTCGAGAAACCAATGATTTTATAAACAAATTTACCTCAAGTGTTTACATATATCGCACGGAGAACACGATTCGTTTGGGTTTCGGTTGAGAAGCAGAAAAAAGAATACGAATTAGGCGGCTCTCTAATAAGGGAAACATGAAAATGTGACGAACTTTTGCAAGCTTTTAATGCATTTTTTACGAACGAGGTTTTGTTCTCCCGGACAACGCACGACGCTTTCCATTTACTTACGGACGACCACTCGAGTCACTTCTAGCACGACCAATTCCATTAGGACGCGCAATCACGTTTTCGACGGCATTACGCGATCTTATCGAGTGCCGAGCGAAATTAATTGCACGTCAGACGGCGTTCCATCGGCCGCGTTCGGCCGCGCATTAGTGCGCCCGGACGCTGCGTAATTGCAAGATACATGTACATACACGCATCACACGAATACGATCGACTGTATTCGCGATAGCGAAGCAATCCCGGGCGGAAGCGTCGCCCCCGGAGCGCACACACGTTCGTCGATCGAGCGATTCATCCCTAATGGAATCCCCCGTCCGTTTCCACCGCGGAATTCCACGCGGAAGAAATCCCAACGTGCACGAGATTAATGGCCGGCGGGTTATCGAGGCTTTGGAAAATATACATACGGGCGACCCCGGCGTATTTTTCTTCCCGCCTTTCTCTCACCGATCCGTTTGATCGGTCGAATGAAAGGTATCTGCAGTTACATTTCATGAAAATTGCAATCATATTTGATAAAAGTCCGACGTTGTTTTCCTATATATAACATTATTGCTCGTTTCGCTCCATTTCTCTTTTTTTCTTGCTCTCTTTCTTTCACACCGATGTATAAAATATACAGAATAGGTTTATCCCCCGTTAACGGATAAATAAATAAGTAAAATTGTTCGGAGTATTGCGTTCGTCGACGGAGGAAAGAACGGTTCGTTGCGTAAAACGTTATGAAATGTGTAACGCGTAACGCGCTCGCAATATCCCATCGCGGATTTATGCAACCGAAGAAATTCCACGACTCTTCAGACATTATCGTTGTTACGAACGGACCAGGATTCGAAAGATCTTCGCGAATCATTGCTATTTCGCGTTCTTCGTTCGCAATTCTCTCTCTCTCTTTCTCTCTCTCTCTCAGGACATGCGTAGTTTCTGCTCGTCAGATCAGTCCTTTCCACTTGAAACGTAAGCGAGAAACACACGTAATCCCGAACAAATGTTCGCTCTGTAACATAATCTTACACATGTGAGCGATTAGCCACTCTGCCACTCTGACCCGGTTTCGCGAAACGTCGCGATTAAAAGGCGAACTAGTTATTCCGCGAATAATCCGCCGACGCTTCCGCGTCTGAGTTCCCAGCTTACGTGATACAATGCGCTCACTTTCCCGGCGTTGCGCAATATTTTTTTTCCCACGCGCCGTGAAAACGCTTTGCCGGTCTTTAACACTTCGACATTCGCACCGCATCATCGCTGACATAATATGATTTTGCATAAATGTAAGGTACAGGACTTCCCACCGGCCGGACACATGCAAGACACGCACGCACGCGCGCGAGCTGTCTGCGTGTGCAAACGTGTATTAAATCCGCGTGGACATTTTCCCGGATTTTCCCATATGCGCAGCATAGATTCCGACTGAAATATCCAAAGTCGTTTCAGAGCGTTTCATTAGAATTATAATAGATATTCAGAGATATTAGAATTATAATAAATATTCAGAGTCGTTTCATTAGCTTGCTCTACTACGATACAAACTGGGAATTCCATTTCTTATCCCGAACACGCGATGAGGCCTCTGGAAAAAGGTAGGAAAAGTGAACGAAAAATGTAAATACTTAAAGTGTCTCGTGTATTTCGTTCGATCGTAGTGCAAAATGGAAGACCCAGAGAGAATCTTTGGGAGAACGTTGGGAGTAACTAAATAGAATCTCCTCGCGTTTCCTATTTCGAATCGCATGTCTGAAACATTGTGCTCCGAAGCAAAACCCGCGCAGATTTCCCAACCAGCATCCGTCATTATTTTCGAAGATCGAACTAGAAGGTTGCACTGAATGTCACTAAATAATCAATATCAATTGAAATCGCCGGTAGTTTCGCCCTCGAACTAAAAACTCGGACTTCATTGATTAGTACGTACGCGAATTATCCGCAATAATACCTTCCTCATCGCGAGAGTTTGCCGAGTATGAAGTTCCGTAGTGGAAACGCGGTTTGAAAGCCGCTGATCTATGCAAATACAACGGTAATGTATTTCCTGCTTCTTCCTTTCCGAAGTACAAAAGCCCTCATTCAAAGGAGGTAAACTCGATTTATGATCTTGGCATTACGCGCTGCCTGGGTATACGCTCGAACCCTTTTATAGTTACAGCGCGAAAATTACAACGCGACGAGAGAGAGAGAATGAGAGAGAGAGAAAGAAACATAGAGGGAGATACCGCATTAGAGACGAAATTGATCGGCGCTTCGTTCTCCCCCGGCTTAAATAATTTCGTGTCGTTCACGAAAACAAACAGCAATTACAACAACGCTTTTCACATCGGGTTTATGTAACCCCAGCGGCCTCCACGTCGGGAGGTAATCATAGTCGCAGCGGAAAATCGTAAAGCGACGCGGACGTAATTCCGCCCCGTGCATGTGACACGAGCTCCCGGACACGAAGGAGGAAAAATAAAGAAAGGCAAGACCGTAAGTCAGGCCGGGGACCGACTTTTATTTCTCTCCCGTTTCTCTCGGCCGCTGTTCATCCGAGAATTAATTAGCCCGAGCGTCTCTCACAGACCCCTAATTTCCGGAAACGACCGGCGTCAAGATCGGGGGGATCGGATTCGGGCGCAGCTCGGTTATCGTCGTCTACGGTGTTCCATCGTCGTCGTAAATATCGGGAAAGCGTAAAACGTTGAACGTGAGCGACAAAGGGCCGATCGAAATCGCGCCGATCGAAACGTCTCACTTACCCGTACGTAACTGGCGTTGATGTACTCGCTTGTGGCGTCATTGTTCAGCCTCTCCAACGGCACCCTCGTCTCCGGGAGCGGTATCACGTTAGCGTACCTATTCTTCACTTCCGTGCCCGGGGGCAGCTCGTCTATCTTCACCGAAACTTGGGGTATATTCGAGAACTCCTCGTCGATTACGTTAACGTCGTTGTAGAAAGATGAAAGCCCGGCGAAGTTCAGCGGGTGGGACGGTATGGCGCTCTGAAATATAAGGGCGCGTCTTTCATAGAAACGCTTCTCTTTCTCTTTCTCTCTCTGTCTCTCCCTCTCCTATGACAGATACCTTCGACCTCCCCCTCTAACCCTAATCACAAACACAAAGGGAATTGCTAGGTACCGATCGGCGGGAGGGGGTTGGGAAACGCATCAATGAAATTCGCCAGATCTCTCATCGAACAGCGAAGCGAAACACAATGTCGAAGCTTCGAGCAGCTTTACCGGAAGTACCCCTCACGCTAACTGAGCTTAATCTACGTTGAAATACTAAAAAGGGGTAGCTCTCGAATGACGATACTTATAATGATGAACGGAATCTCACTGACTGCAATATTCCGGGTGATTTGGAACTTGAGTTTTTAATTTGCGTTTTTAAGTTAGAGAAATTTAGTTGCAATTATATAATGGATGCTTGCGTTGCTCGTGCGAAAATTTGTGACGAGCTTCGGATGTATTTTTATATTCTAGGGTAACTTCACTAAACTCAGATTATAAACTGATCGGTGACTAATAATAAAAAATTTCCAACACCAATTTCCAATTCTGTAACTTGCTGTTCAACAATAATTGGGCAGTTGGTAATTTCTTGAATTGTTCAATCATTTCTGTCTGCATCAGCAAGATAGAGCGGATAACGTTTGACTGACGCCAATTTTCAATCGTCGATTCGATGAATCAGAGTTTGCTGAAATTCACCCTTACTTTTCTCTTTCACATTTTCCAAAAATTCCCCTCGTCTCAGATATGCAACGTACATTAAAAACTCATAAATACTCTCAGAGGAGCGGTCAAAGCGCTACCTCGCAATACCAGCCGAGGAAAAGCGAACTCTACTACGAGTAGGAACCTTCTACTATCGTACTCCATACGCTGTTTTACAACAATACACGTAGCTACGAGCAATATCGTTGTCCTGCATTTTGTTACCTGAACGGTTTTACTTAGATCTACACTTTCGTAACGCGCAGTAGCTACAAACAGAAGAAGATTACGGTTGGAGCGTTATTTGAAATCGAGTAACCGCACAGCTTGAAATCCGACGGCTCTTTTATGCGTAACATAATATAAAACGCGACATTATTTCCCCACACGATCCGAGAATTTCCCATTTTTTTTTTTTTCGATCCCCTCGACGACTCACCGAATCTTCGAAAGTTGGATTGCCATAGCTTCTCTTGGAGGTTCTTGGCGCGACTTTCCGCCTTACGCTGCTGTATGCCGAAACGCTGTCGAGGCTGTAGGCGTCCAAGGATACTGGTCGGCAACGTTCCCCGTAGTTGAACCTCGTCTGCCTCTTTCTCATTATAAACTGCAAGTAATAACGGTTCAGATTAACGGCCCAAGCAAACAAACGCGAAAGCCCATCTAGCGGTCCCTACTGTTGCTTCGCAGCTTCCTAAGTCTAAGTTCAATATCGCGGTGTCTCTCCTCTACCTACAGAGAAGTGGTGTCTACGTCGGTACTCACAATGTCCCGAAATGCGGTGGCGGTTAGCTTAGTGGCCATGCACTGAATCGAAAACTTCTGTTTCAACGTCAGCATGTGCAAAACAGATTCGTCAAACGATAACGCCGGGTTTCGATTCGACACGCGCCGCATGAAATGTTCCGGCTCGGTTTTTTTCGCGTTCGCAGCGAAAAAAACGGAGCCGAGTACAAGGACTCCTGGCGATCACGACGGTTAAAGCCGAGTCGAAATTTCGATGCCACTTGGACGCTCTCGAGAATAGTCTGCGTCTACTTAGATGGTCGGTAGATTAATAAAAATCTACTTTGACGATACCGGCATTATTCATTTCTACAGGTAAATTCCAACTTAATTTTAACGCTACTTCGAACAATTCATTCTGACATTGAAACAGCGAAAGCGGAAATCTACGGTACCGTCAGAGTCAAAGTAGGAATAAATTATGTTTAATTATATATTATGAAAAATTATATTAGAATTAGAATATATATTAATTAATTAAATTAAAATGGAGCCGATTTAGATCTATTATCACCTTCTGTGTTATAGAATTGAAAGTTTAACATAGGACCGAAATTTCGACTCGGGAACGTGCGGCGAATCTCGCGCTTCCACGGTTCCTTGTCGTCGCGCGGAAAACGACGGACCGATCACGCCGTATAACCGATATGTCCGAAAAGAGATCGAGGAGGAAATCCCCGATGATAGTGGCGCGAAATAACGTGTTCGAGACACGTAGCAGGCGGCGGATCATTTCGACATTGTCACTCGCATGCACGATAAAGGCCTCGGGAAAACACGGCGCGGCAGATGAAGCGCGCAATTGGCCGGTCGACCGAATCGCCAAGGCCGAGGAACCGCGCAACACGTTTTTTCTTTCTCCCGTCACCAACGCAAAAACCAAAAGAAACGCACGAATCCGTCCTGCTGGCCGTTGTTAATTATGCGTTATCACGACACCGTAAATATGCGCGCTGCGTTTCCCTGGGATTCCCCGCGTGACCGCCGCCTTTCCGAATAAATCACAAATGCTCCCCGATATACGATGGACTTTTATTTACACCGTTCTTCCCTTACTTTTATTTCCGCCGTCGTGATCACCATTATTTCTTTAGCCTTTGCAAATTTATCGCTCGCGCAGTCGGCCGCCTGGTCGATCATCGTCAAATCGAGTTTCTGTATCAGCAGCAAAGAAAGAGAGAGAGAGAGAGAGAGAGCAATTTCGAAAATTGATGGTGCAATATCGTCGGATTCCTTGGCGACGTATGCGCGATAATTTTCTCTCCTCCCTTATTAGCCGATTCGTTAAATTTCATCGGTCCCGATTCCGCCGGGTGTAGTAACACCCGCTGCATTACGCGTTCATTAAAATTAATTATTGCGCGCTGCGCGAGCGCGGTAACGACGCGTTATTGACGACCGGAGGCGGCTTCGGTGGCGGAATTATTATTACATAGAGAAGTAACACGATGGTAAAAAGTGTGCAAACACGCGTGTAAACACGAATGTTATTATCATACAGACGAGGATGAGGTAACACACACACACACACACACACGTGTACACACAATGTGACGTAAACGCAAGGAGCGGAAGAATATAGAAATAGAAACGCACAACAAAACGAGTTGATGTTATCATAGAAGTAAAAAAAAAAGAAGAGGAAGAAAAAGAAGCAGGAGAAGAACAAAAGGAAAGACAGACGTTGGTGTGTCGTAAAACATTGCGCATGCATCGTATTATCGTATCATCCGCACGACGAAGGAGAGAACGTCGTCTTTCACTTGCACCAGGTGGGAGAGGGAGAGGAGAAGAGAGAGAGAGAGAGAGACGGGTGTACACATAGACACGTTATCATGAACTATTACGTACACGTATTACGACGGACGAAGACACCGACACGTAACGCCTTTTGAACAGAGGTTTATCGCCATGCAAGCGCGACGCAGCAGACTACGTCAGAGAGCATAGATTTTCGCGGACCTGCGCAGCTGCGAATCTTGAAGAATTAGTACTCCCCATTACGATTCCTCGGTGCGATAACGTGCTTAGCATAGACGGCTTAGAGAGAGACGACAAATATCTCGAGGAGATCGCGGAGATGCGAGAGTATCGAGAGAGAAGCCAGTCGGAGTTCGAGTCAAAAGTGAGGCGCGCACACGAGGAGGGGGTTTCCTCTCGCGGGAACGACTCGAGCGAGGAGATTCTCTCGTTTATGAAATTCCGGCCGGCTCGCGAAAATGCCCGAGCGAGAATCAGTAATCTCTCACATGCGGAGTCATTTTCACGGTGTGCAGTTCCGCGCCAGGTATCTCGCGTGAAAGTTTGAGCAGAAGACGAAACGACGCCAAGTGTATCTACATGTGTCTGTCTGTGTGTAAGAGTGCGTCGTACGTACGTATGTACTCGTCGTAAGTTAAATACGATGTACTAGGTGTACACAGATATCTCTATTTGGAAGAAATAAGCAGAGGGTGCACTTACCAGAAGACCCGCCAGAAGAACGAGACAAATGAAGGCCACGGATGAGACCACGACTACGGCTATTGCGTTTCCGGAATCCGCTTCCGGCACCAACACGAACTTGCGTATCTGAAAAGGACGAAACGACATGGGGGGGGGGAGGAAATTTCACGCTGGATTCACGCGTTGTTGTTCTCCAGAAGAGAAAGAAAAAGTGCTGCCGCTCGAGTGATATTCACTCGGTGGAAGTAAAATGGTTACTTCTTCGCAAATGTTCACTGAGAGTGGACATATAATTGACCGTATGATATTTCCTTCGTGCGTGTGTTCACCTGCGTATGTTAAAGCAATTGCGACAAGTATTGAATTCATAATACTGAGAATGTCGGTATTTACGTTTTTAGAAAATATTTACACCGGACGGAGGGAAAATTCGAAGCTCAAACCCACCAGGTTTCTTCGATTCGGGGGAAAAAAGTGTCGCATAATTTTAGTAAATATTTAAATTTAAAAAACCATTTTGCAGTTACATTCTGCAATTAATTTGCAAATTAAGGTGTTACTGCGCGTCCAAGTAAAAGCACTTAATACAAGCTATGAAAATGCACGTAGATTGATAAAAAAACTGTTATTTGATTTAAGCAGCTGAAAAGCTAATTGCGTTTACTTGATTCTAGCACTTTTCTTCTGCGCGTCCGTTCACCGATCGAATTGAAATTGCTCTGCGATTGACCGCCCATTTTCCGAGGCGGGGAGGGGGCGTATCGTAGAAACGTTCTTAGCGACGACTGAGGTTTACTTCGCGAGCTTTAACGAGAGGATCGAGATTATCGGAAAGAGATGGATTGATAGAAAGGGAGAGGCGGGGGAGAGCGAGGTGGGTGAAATTTTAACGAGATCAACCGAGCTAAAAGTTATAATAGAGTTCCGCTGATTTTCTCTCGGCAGGATCGACTCGTTACGTTCTAATCTGGCCTCCCCGCCGTCCTCAACTTACTCTCACTGGGAAGTCGTGAAGCACCTTCTCTAGATTCGGCAGAAACTTTGTCATAGCGGCGTCGAACTTGCCGTCCTCGTCGACGACGTAAACCAAGATCGAGGCCACATCCATAGATGTCGGCGTCGAGCTCGGCGGCTCAAGGCAGGGGTTCTGGTGGATGAAAATCTGCTTCCACGAGACGAGCCTGCGAAACCGAACATACGGTGTGTACAACAACACGTGCCCGGCCGAACGCACCTTCAAGCTTCAATAACGGTGTGAACGACGCGACCTTCTCAACGAGTTTGACAAATTCATTGGTATTCATTAAAGCACAATTTGCTTCGCACTCACTGCCAGCTCGAAGGAATTTCCAATGTATTCGCTGCCGGCATAATGTTACTTTAGGCGTCGAATACCTCTGTATTAATTAAATTCTGTTATTATATAGATTCGCTTCTTCATGTTCGAATAAAGTTTGGATATTTAATAATTAAAGTCAGGTAATTCGCCAGCGAGATATAACGCGAAAGCCGCTATTTCAAATCCCACGAGCGGGCATATTCGAATAACCATGCCGGTCACAGTGACCAGGCTTATAATTATCGAGGAGAATAATAATGTTCGATAATAATGTTGGTGAGCGGACGATGAGCGGAAATTCTCGAATTCACCCTCGCGCTGACCAGCCCCGATTGAAACGGCCTCGGCAAGCGATCCTATCGAACACGCCTTCTCACGTCGGCTTAAAATATTCCCGAGTAAAAATCGAACCGGTCGGCCTGAGTGAAAAACTGACAGCCAGCAAGTGCGGGCTGGATGAAATTTTCCAGCTCGTGTAACTGGTTCGTTATCAGCTGATTACTCGTGAAAAATGCGGAATTGGTATTGCGATCTGACCTTAGCTCAGCTATCGCATGTCAAATTCGACGGAGTAGATGGCGCTTCGATTGATTTCAGCTAACGCTTGAAATGGGGTAGCGAGTGAAAATTGTGAGGGCGCACTGTTTCGCAAGGATCTTAACAAAGCAGAGGTGAACGTTGCACATTACCGAACCCGAACAACAATTGAGCGTGCGAATGAACTATCTCGTGGCTGGTCGCCCTCGCAATTCCACCCCGCAGGAAGTTCTCGAGCTTACTTGTCCATGCCGTCCGTCAGGCCGCTGGCGAGCGCGCTCCTCAACTCCGGCAGGTGAGGGCAGATGTCCTGCAGGCTGCCCTCCATGACTATCTTAACGAGCGACGTGACCTCGTCCTGCGGCTGAGGCGGGATACTTTTCGTCACCTCTTCCTCGGCCGACTCCGTGCTATTCGGAGCGGCCCAGGTTGGAACTTCCGGTTCCAAAGTGGGAGCGAAGGGAGCCGGAGGGCTCTTCGTCGCGTTCGTTGGCGTCGTGACGCCCGGCGGAGGATCCGTCGGGGCGGATGTCTCGGTGACGTTCGCGTCGAAACGCGAGTCCTTGGGCGTCGGAGGGTCCTCGGTGACCGGGCTGTCGGTGAAATCGATCGTGGTAACCTCGTTCCCGATCGGCTCGTCGACGGTGGACCGAGTGGCTGCGGGAGGCACCTTCACCTCGGTGCTCTCGTTCATCGCGCTCGATGCTTGGTCCATCGTCGTCGGCAACAGCTCGGTGGAGTCCTCGGCCCTCGTGGTCTCCTCTTCCGCCGAGCTGTTCCTCGTGGAGGAGTCCGGAATCGTCGGGATCGGAATGGTGATCCTCGACGGCACCGTCTGCTCCTCGAAGATGCGGCCCCCGGTGCTCTTCTCGGTGGTGTTCGTGCCGTTCGGAGCCTCGGTGAGGCCGATGAACTCGAACTCGATGGACGTGCTCGTCGGGACCGGCGACTCGTCGGGGTTCAGGGTGCTGGGTAGTGGTGACTCGGTGCTCGGTTGCAGCGTCGCGTTCGCCGTCGGCATCGACTCGGTGGTGTTTTCGAGCGGCGCCTCACCGCCCTCCGGCGTCATCGAGCTCGTGGATTTGTTCGCTTCCGGAGTCGCCGTGTCCAAGGGAACTATCGTGGACTCGGTGACGTCGAGGGTCGAGCGGATCATCATGGCCTCCTCCGGGTCCGTCTGAATGTCCGTGTTGAGGGAGGCCGGTGTGGTAGTCGGCGTGGAGCGCGACGACGACGGCTCGCTTCGGCCGCTCGCCTCGGATGGCAGGCCGACTTCCGTTATGCCATTCCCGGTCACGTCGTAGCCCTCGTCTCCGGCCGCCTTCCCCTGCGCGGCCTGGGGCGCGTCATCCTTCGGCGTCGCGCTGCTGTACGACTTCGCCGGGAAGGTCTCGTTTGTCGGGCCGATCGCCTCCTGAGTCCCCGGGATCACCGTCGCCGTCGCTAAGGACGGGCTCTCCGTAGTGGAGTTCGCGGACTCCTTCCGACCCTTGTCGTCCGGCTTCTGCTGCAGAATGCTGTTCTCGATGACGACGGACGGCTCGGTGACGATGAACTTCCTCCCCGAATCCTCCCGGCCGATCGTGTTCTCGTAAGCCGACGTTTCCTCGACCAGGTCGCCGTTGCTGCTGCTCCTCGACCTCAGACCGGCCGGTGTCGTCGGCCGAGGCGACTCCACGCCGGATTTCACGTACGGATAGGGTTTCTGACCGAGCGTTTCCGGGGCAACCGGCGCCGTGGGTTTCACCTCGACACTCGGGAACTCGTTGACGTCGGGAAAGCCGATGGTTCGGCCCTGCGGAATCGGACTGGGGGTCGTCGCTTCGGGAGAGGTCCGTCCCGTCGCCTTAACGCTCGGAATCGTTGTTTCCAGCGGCTTCAGTTGGCTGCTCTCCGATTTCCACTCTCCCGTGCCTCCTTCCTCGGAGGCGGTCGCGTTGCTGCCTGAAGGGAGCGTCCTTCGTTCCTCGCGATCCTCGTCTTCGCTCGGGCCTCCCCTCTTGTCATGAACGATTCCTCCCTGCTCGCCGGCAAGTTCGTTCGCGTGAGAATCGTTCCCCGCAGTACCGTTCTCGATGGCTACGATCTTCAATACCGGCTGATGACTCACGTCCTCGACGATCTCCACTTCCTTCTTCGGGTCGCGGGAGGAGCGACCCGATCCATCCGACTCACTCTCCGTCTTGTAGTTCACGTACGTGTCGTTGATCAGAGAAACGGCTCCTTCGTGTCCCTTCTCATCGATCTTCTCCAGGTCGAACGCCTCGGACGCTGCCGTGACGACCTTCCCGGATTTCGGGACGCGGTCCTCGCGCTGAGCCCCGCGCGCCGTAGTCGACTCCCGGTCGCGGCTCTCCTCCGCGTCCTCCGTCAGGCGGGCCAAGTTCGCGTCGGGCTTCGGGACGAGCTCCTTGCGCTCCAATTTGTTCATCCTGTCCTTCTTCCCGTCAGATTTCGCGACCTCCTCGCTCGTCGGCGACTCCCCGGTAGACGCGACGGTCGTTATCTCCCCCACGTTCGCCGTTGAGTTCCTCCTACCGTCCTCGGAGTTAACGAAGGAGGTCTCTTCGGGAAGCGTACGGTCGGCAGACGTCGCCTCCACGTCCATGTTCTTCCCACCGGTTGACTCCCCGGCGAGTTCTTCCTTCGGAGACACGCTCTCGCCGAGTACACCTTCGTCGGGGGACTCTTCGAGCGTGGCGTTCGCCGAGTTCCTCTTATTGTCCTGCTTCGAGTCGTTCAGCGCCGGCTTCGTAGTCGCTACGGTCAGTTCGTTTGTCCTGGAGAGCCCGACGGCTCTCTCGGCTTTCGCGCTCTTGCCGGAACTTTCGGTTGAGATCTCCCCATACCTCGGCTTCCGGCCTTCCGACAGGCTCTCGATCTCCCCGGCCGCCGAGTCGTCCGTCCCGTTCCCTGACACCGACGGTGCATCACTCTTCTCCTCGTCCCGACGCCCGGCGCCTTCGTCGCCAACATTGTTCCGCGATCCGTCTTCCTCGTCGTGGACTCCCCGGCTCGTCGCCGGCTCGACATTTCGTTCCTCCTCCTCTTCTCGGATGATTGACTGATTCGGCGAGACGGTTCTCGTCGAGACCACCGGGGTGGCTTCCCGTCGGGGAGTCGACGTCGCCTGGGAATCAAGTCTCCCCGACGGCGTGCTCGACGTCCGTTCCGTAACCTCCGCGAGCGCGTCGCCGAAGAGGAGCAGAAAGGTTCCTGAAACAAGCAGATTTCGTTTCCTGTCACTTCACCGTCCTCCTCGCCTCCCTTCCACCCCTCCCTCCGTAGCCGTCCTCCTGACGACGGCACAATGGTCTTTGTGTTTACTGTACTCGCCTCCCGCGTGACTCCTCGAGTACATAATGATTCATTTAAATCGCGTTATACGAAATCTCTCGCGAGATGTCGACGTCTAAAACGTCTCTTTACATACGCGGAAACATTTCCATTGTCGCGCTGAGCCCGCGACGCGTAACGTTCTCTTTTTCCCTCTCCCTCTCTCTCTCTCTCCTTTTCAACCCGTCCTCCGGTCTCGTGCGATCCCAATTACGCGTTTGACAATAGAATAGCGAATTACGAGCCGGCGATAGTAACCAGCCCGTAATAAACGCGCGGGACGGAGGGGAGCTTCCGCGCACAAATTGCCGTAATCGTAAATATAAAGTGTAAACTCAAACTGAAGAACCGAGCAAGATATTGCTTCAGGTTTGTATGAACAGCGTCTGGAATGATCTAGAACCGTCTAGAACTGTGCTCAGAATTGTTTGCACTTTCGAGGAGATCTCCGAGAGCTGATTTTCTCCTCCTTGCCTCCCCGGCTCGTCTCTTGAGTCGTGCGACTGACAGTTGTTGCGCTCAGCTTTAAGTTAACCGTTTAACTTCGTAATATATATGCGAGACTAATTAGTAAAAAGTCCTTATCGAATGTAATTCTCCGCACGTGTTATTTTTGCACGCTCTCAATAGAATTACAACGATGGATAATCGTAATTTCGATGAGAGCTTCTCAGTAATTACGGAGCGCCTCGCAGGTATTATATAAATTTATCGGCCACCAAAAGTGCGAATAATTTCGCGCTCTGGAGGAAAGTGAAGACAGAAATAAAGGTGTGTCATTAGAATTCTGACCGAGCGATCTCAATCGGTCGAATCCTATGCTATCATATAAACTTTTCTTGAAAAGTCAATTTTTAAGATGTCGGCTTGACTCACGTGAGAAACGCCTTTATTTAGTCTCTACGAACAAAATTAGCTGTCCTCTTACTTTCCTCCGTGCACCCGCCGTTCTATATTACGAAAAATACAACAGAATGTCAAATAAATCACGAAAACCCTAGCTGAAAAATTGTATTAAGAAAGTTATTATTGAAAGAAACTTGCATTTGAAATCATTCTACCCGCGAATTTTCTTCATTCTTAGACGTACAAATTTCATCTCGTACTTCCTACAAAAGCCAGTTTTTCTCATTTGATCAAGCACAGTTTTTCGTAACACAGGCCTAACGTAAGAAGGAAGAAGAAGAAGAGAATTTTATCGACGCAAGTTGCGTTCCCGCGTGCCGCGTTAGGTTCCATCTTCTTCCCGAGTCACGCGAATCCCTGGCAATATGCCGATTCATATCCTAATTTTACACAGTCGCGCCAATTTGCGCGCGAAAGGCCGATAACTAGCTTCCGCGGTGTGCGCGATAAAAAGAACGGCGAGCGTAGATGAGGCATTTAATGGATATCGAAAAACCGGTTGCCCCCTGGAATCACCGCGTGTTACTTGGGCGCGATTCCGCGATACATTTCGCGTTCTACTCGGAGAAACTCGGAACATCGGCGAGAGCGCGCGTTTGAATATTGAGCAGACCTCGAAATTATGCAGGCGGTTTCGAGTATGTCCTCGCGTTTTCCTGATCTATATCGATACATGGCGACTACCTCTTTCTCTCTCTCTCTCTTTCTCGTAACGCCGAGTTAAATATTGATTTTATCGGCGGGAGCGAGCGCGGATTCGCAAGGAGAATTTTCCGTCTGATTTCCTCCTCGTATACTTTCGTCGGCGCGTTTTCAACTCGCACGGGTGACTCGCCGAAGATTACACGCGCGAGAGCGTATCGATTTCCCCCTGTTAGACGAAAATAATGAAGCGCTACCCTCTCGTCTTTAACTTCATCGAACAAACCGGGAAAATAGAGAGCAGTTCTCGCGCGATTATAGCGCGCGCTCGCTTTTCGAACATCGGTCGGTAAAAGCTCGCCCGGGAAATACTCGCGACGTATGCCGGTCTTCAATGTAATTATCTCGTCGACAAGATAATCTCGTCAATGGCGCTTCTCCACGATCGCCGCGCTGCACAACGTTCCGGAAAGTAGCCGTTGCGCGGCGCGCGCTACGATGTTTATGTAACGGGGTGTTTATACAATAAAGGCATCGCGATTGATTTATTAATGGGGTCTCATCGATTATCTCGTATCTACTCCGTTCGAAATAATCAGACTCTGACGCGCGCGTTCCGCGAGTCTCGCGATCGTTTGTTAAACGCTTCCTGATCCGCCGTAGCGATAATTGGAATGAGCAACGGGTTTATTCGCGCGTCGTTCACTAATTAAACGCTTCTTAACTCGTAAATTTGCACTCGCGAGCTCTTCGACGCGCTGGAACACCTGTATATTGTTCTCGAATTATGCGCATTAAGGGGCCACATACTCACCGAGCGGCGTGAACAAACGCCCGATGCTCGAATTTCTCTCGCCGACTGTGTTATTGACTTTACAAAGATGTCCCTTCGAAGAAACGATTCTTCATACTTTTACTTGCACGAATAAAAATCCAATAAACACCAAGAGAAATATTGAAGAATCATCTCTCAAAAGGACATCTTCTCAAAGTCAATAATAGTATGTAGGAAAATTCACTCAGGTCATCCGCTCAGGTGTATGTATTCCTTCGACCGATAATATATCTGAACAAGGATCAGCCGCGAGGATTAACGACAGCATTAACGACACGAAATGATACGCGATCGCCGGCACCGTCATTACTGGGAATACAGAATGAAGAAAAGACTGAGAGTGTATCATTCGATTCCCTCTCACTTAGCAAAACCCTTCATTATCCGCGCGTTGAAAAGGTCGTTAAAATAATTGCCTGTATTATTAGTCGTTGCGTCACCACCTTAGGCGCGCTTATCTCTCGCGGTAATGAATTTTCCTAGCTAATTAAGTGAATTCACAGAGTCACTCGGAGCCAGCGTCGTCGGACTTCGGAGGCTAGAGATTCTTAACCTTCGGCTCAAGCGGAATTCCGTTCGGCGATACATTTTCGGAATTTTCCGTCTCGGAATCCGAAGTGCGGACCGCCGTGCGTCGCCGCAAACGAAAAGAGGCCAAGCGCGTCGGTCAAGGCGGGACGGAAAATTTTGTTAAGCCGCGCGAGTTACAGTTAACTCGCGCTGGCCGGGCGCGTTGAAGTAAACCTAACAGTACTTGGTGCAGTCACCTCGATTGGCAGCCTTTACATCACGAGTTCACAATGCAACAGGATGCAGTGAGGAGAGAGAGAGAGAGAAAGAGAGAGAGAGATGCTAGTCCATTCTCCTCGACGGTAATGCTGCTGCGCGCTCGCCCGAAATAAAAATCGCATAATCCGCTCGAAGAGCCGAGTTCTTTCCTGCTTATTCGGCGCCGATACGCTCCCCGATGCGGATTACGAGCGGATCGACGTGTATTTTGATTTCATGCGTTGCGAAAAGAGAAAGAGAGAAGACCCGGTGCACTCGTGTTTTCCCCCCTCTCTCTTCGTTTTCATTCTTTGCTTCGCAAACGTGGCTCACCTATGCATACTCCCAGTGCGAAGACGGTCGTTCCTCGGCGAGTCATCTCTGTCCGTCTCCCTGCTCGATCTGCAACAGAAACCGATACTATTTTATTCTACGATACTGCGAGCTCCCCCCCTCCGTATTTGATCGAACGAATGCTCGTTCGCGGCGCGCCTCTCATATATATTTTCGCGTGCGAAATGCCGGCCTCGTTAAAAAAAAAATATATATATATATAACAGAAGCCGTGCAACATTGATAAACTATATCGCTGCTAATAAAGTAATATAACAGTATGAAAAATGCACGAGGAGGAAAATCTCCGTAAAAAATACGTCCGGTTTATTTTAGGCGCGTCAACGATATCAATGAATGCGGATGACGTATACGCTGCTGATGAAAATTCCGGAAAGAAATGTCCGTTCCTGGTGCGTGTGTTTACACATGCGCGTGATTTTCAACGTTGCGAAGATGACCCGGTTTACGAGCCTGTTCACCTTAGGGAGGTATATAACATAAAACTGTGGTCCGCAATGCAGCGCGCAAGCTTCACGAAAAGTTTTTATCCCGTATTCGCGGCGGGACGCGAAAGCGACGTGGTCGGTCAAGGATTATCGAGTGCGGATTTTGCCTCGACGATTTCTTTACATACGTCTTCCAAGCCGACTCGCTGCGTCATCGACATTCGCATTAACATTCGAATTCAAAGGACGATACGCACCGATCGTCACGAAAGGCGCAGCGCGACACGTCGATTATTGTAACACCAATTACGCCGTTCGGCCAGTCAGCAAAAAAACCGTAACGGGCGTTCTTTTCCAGACGCATCCCGTCTCGAGGAGAATTCGTCTCTCAATCATTCTCGGGAGATATATTTTCCTGTCGGATACGAGATATCCATTGCGAAACTCGTCGGAAGAAAAGAAGTGTTGCGAAACCTTGATTGACTGCGCGCAATTAATTGGGAACGAAGGCTCCCGGATATTCAGACGTCCGAAATCGAGCGAAATTAAGGACTACGAGAACCGACCGTCGCTTTCCGCAGGCCTTAATTTACCTTCGGCGAACGATACGATATTGTAGACGACGTAATATTGCTACGTAACACAGGTGCGCGTATATCCCAAAAGTCTCGTGAAAGCGGTCTCCACGGGCGGGTCGATGACGCAAGAGAAACAAAATCGCGCCGAAGTCCAATAGCGATTGCTCATTTCCATAACATGTAGGTTGATGCATTCCGCTATTCAACGCCTCGTTTACTGCACGAACGCGCTCCTCGGCCGCGCCGTATCGTTTGTTGTTACGCGCACCGGTACCTTTAATTGTAGAAAGTAATCGTAGAAAGTGTACAATGCGCGCTCACCCCCGCGCAACTCCCCCCCCCCCCCCCCCC